GAATCTGTCCTTTCCAGAATCATCTTGACACGCTCCTTCAAGTTGCCTATTTTCTGATCACTCCTCCTTCTGCAAAGGTGGTACGAGAGGGTTAGGGCAGAGGGGGGTCCTACTTCCCTTTAAGAACCTGCCTCCAGCCCAAAGAGTTGGGCACCGAGGGGTGCAAAAGGGGCTTTGGTGTTGCCTTTCATGAAAGGACTGAAAGTTGCCTTTAAAGTGATTTCCAACTAAGGTTCTATATAAAAATAGAACGATGGACTGACAGAACTGGAAAATGTCAATGTTCACCTTTCACTTTAGATCCAAGCCCTGAGCTACAGCATCTGTGGTCCACAATTTGTACGCTGCATAACTCCCCTGTGATCAGCACAGTTGAATGGATTGTATGTGTGTGTGTGTTGTAAAACATTAATTTGTTGGGTCAGTAGGTGGTATAGTGGCTACGACATTGGATTCTGACATGGCCAACCATGGTCTGAGTCCCAGATCTGGTGACTTGAAACTCATGCTGGGCACATGTGTGTGCGTGCCCAAAATCCTGAGAGGAGAATGGAAGAGAAGGGATTGTGACCTGGCCATCCCCTCTAGGAAGTGATTTCTCACTTTCTCCATATTTCTCTGTCTCTCTATACATATGTCCCAAAGCAACAATCTCTGTAAAAATATTTTTTAAATAACAAAGCAAAAAACACATTTATTTGTTATATGTAAATGTTGAAAGTATACCATGACATTTCACAATCTCATTTTATAATATATTTTAAGGATTGTTTATTTAATTTGATTTATTATTATTATTATTATTATTAATTTGCTATCGGGTATGTACACTCACCAGAGAGAAACAGAGAGAGAGAAAAAGTGAGAAAGCAAGACTCTAGGTCTGGTACTCAAACCAGGGTCCACCAAGAGGGAGTCCAGCAACTTAACCACCACGTCACCTGCTGATCCCTATAATATTTTATTTTTCAATTTACTGGTAGCCTCCAAAAAGTGGAAGTGGCCTTGGCCTCTCCCAATATCAGAAATGCCCTGAAGAAGATATCTGAAGATATCTCGGTATCTGACAGGCCTTCCTGAAGAGGGAACAGAAGAGAAGATGTGGTCATAACAGTCACAACAGGTCACAGATATTGAGTCTTTTTTTTTTTTTTTTTTTTTAGGTTTTTTGTATAGGGGGCTGCCCGC